ATCCACCGCTAAGAGTTGTCAAACTTTTTTGGTTTGCTTTTCGGAGGCCACAGTTCGGAGACAAGTGGGGTTTGAAAGGGGATGACAAAACCCCCGGGCGCTCCCCCCAGCTCTCGCGGCGCGGGAGCAGGAGCGGAGACATTGAACCCCCCGCCTCCCCCGGAGGAGGGAGGAGAGTTGGGTACCCGGAGGCGCGCGGGGGACGGCCAGGGCGAAGCCGCCGCCGCCGCGCTTGGGTCAAGGTTCCGAGTGGCGGGCCAGGTCCCGGTGGCAACCGGACAGGACCCCCGCTCCCCCTTCCGGCCAGCGCACCCACGCGTCGAGTCCTTCAGCCCCAGGAGCGGGCCGCGCGGGCACGTGGCACAGGTGGAAGGGGGGGGAGAGCCGAGGCGTCCGGTTCGGGGGTCTAGGCCCTGACTAAGTGGGCCGAGGCCACACACCCCCCCCCCCTCCCCCAACGTCCGCCACCCCCCCGCGCAAGTTCAACCCGCTACTCGAGTATTGTACCCGAAGTTGAGCTTTGCAGATTAGCGTATAACTTTTTAAAACGATTCGGAAAAAATTAATTTCTTTGTATGATAAATATTTTTTGAGTCAACCCTAGTTATGCAACATATATGCTGCATATTTTCAAACATCAACTCGGAAACTGCATCCTCCTCGACGTTGGTTCCAATTCTTATTTGTGGTTAAAAGCGGGGCCAACAAATAGGTACCAAAATCCAACGGCTAGCATGACTATCCAATGCCGTCCAACCAATCCAATATCTCCTCAACGCTGAATATGGCTAATATTTCAGCATTAAACTGCGTTGGATTGGTAAACGGGTTACATGGCCAGGTGCCCCCAGGCCCGCCGATCGCCTGACCACCTTTGATTCATTGTTACGACCTTCTTTTGATTTTTTATTAATTTTGTTGTGTTTTAGGGTTGACCGTATCACATATGCCACACGAAAAGACCCGAATCCTTTTTTGCCAATCTCTCGGTTTCTGTTCATGCTAGAAAGTTGCTTCAGGCACAGTTGTTCTCGCCTTGTCGAGCCGGTTCCAATGATGCCAGAATATCACGAAAATCTCATAGCGCCAATACGGCCATTTTCATAATTATGCACATTAGATGCATAAGCACGCTAGTTTGGCTTTGACTTGTTTGTTCTACCATGTTGAAATTGGTGTCTATGGAAAGGCCTGAATCTCACCTTTATGTGTCACTCAACTGAAAATCTGAGTGTCCCAGCCTGTGCAGCCTCTTAACGTTTTGGACTAATTAGTGGAGCGCGTAGGATACCGCCTTAATTGGCTGGATTGGAATGCATATTAACAGCTGTCCCTTTTTGCTGTATTAATGTGTTTGATGGAAAGAGGGGATTTAGGGCTACAATTTGGTGTATCACAACTGAAAATCTGAGTCTCCTAGGCAGAGCAACCTGGTTCATATTTGGACCACATATTAGAGCGCTGAGAATACCGCCTGATTTGGCTACATTGTAATGCATATTTTTTGCTGTCCTGTTGGGCTAAATTAATGTGTTAGGGCTTGATGGAAAGAGGGGCTTTAGGGCTACAATTTGGTGTATCACAACTGAAAATCTGAGTCTCCTAGGCTGAACAGCCTGGTTAATATTAGGAGTATTTTGGAGCGCTCAGAAAACCTCCTTAATTGGCTTTATTGTAATGGATATTTTGAGCTTTCCTGTTGGGCTAAATTAATGTGTTAGGGCTTGATGGAAAGAGGGGATTTAGGGCTACAATTTGGTGTATCACAACTGAAAATCTGAGTCTCCTAGGCTGAACAGCCTGGTTAATATTAGGAGTATTTGGAGCGCTCAGAAACCTCCTTAATTGGCTTTATTGTAATGGATATTTTGAGCTTTCCTGTTGGGCTAAATTAATGTGTTAGGACTTGATGGAAAGAGGGGATTCAGGGCTACATTTTGGTGTATCACAACTGAAAATCTGAGTCTCCTAGTCAGAGCAACCTGGTTCATATTGGACCACATATTAGAGCGCTGAGAATACCGCCTGATTTGGCTATATTGTAATGCATATTTTTAGCTGTCCTGTTGGGCTAAATTAATGTGTTAGGGCTTGATGGAAAGAGGGGCTTTAGGGCTACAATTTGGTGTATCACAACTGAAAATCTGAGTCTCCTAGGCTGAACAGCCTGGTTAATATTAGGAGTATTTTGGAGCGCTCAGAAAACCTCCTTAATTGGCTTTATTGTAATGGATATTTTGAGCTTTCCTGTTGGGCTAAATTAATGTGTTAGGGCTTGATGGAAAGAGGGGATTTAGGGCTACAATTTGGTGTATCACAACTGAAAATCTGAGTCTCCTAGCCTGAACAGCCTGGTTAATATTAGGAGTATTTTGGAGCGCTCAGAAAACCTCCTTAATTGGCTTTATTGTAATGGATATTTTGAGCTTTCCTGTTGGGCTAAATTAATGTGTTAGGACTTGATGGAAAGAGGGGATTCAAGGCTACATTTTGGTGTATC